GTTTCTTCTTTTTTTTTTCACAGTTTGCTCAGTGTTGACTTTTATCAGATACTTTCTCTGCATTCATTTAGGTGATCATATGGGTTTTTTCTTATTCTGTTAATGTGGTAGGTCATACTAATTTTTAAATGTTAAATCAGCCTTACATTCTTGGAATAAATTTCAGTTGGTCATGATGTATTATCCTTTTTATGTAATTGACTTAATTTAGTAATGTTTTGTTTAGCATTTTTGTGCCTATGCCTATGTTTATAAGAGATGTTGACTGTAATAATTTTTAATGTCCTTAACAGACTGTGTTTGATATCAGGGTTCTACAATCTAATAAACGAGTTTCACTGTTCTCTGAAAGCATTTGTGAAAGATAGGTATTATATCTTCCTTAAATGTTTGGAATGGAGCCAACTAGTATTCTTAAATATTTTATGTACTACTTAAATTTATGTTTTTCTGTTGATATCTATGTTAATCAGTTTCTGTATCTTTCTTCTGAACGAAACAAGGACTTTACCATTCTTCTGCTTTCCCTTTCTCACAAACCCTCTTCTTACCCTCACAGGTATTTCTGACTACATTGTCTGAGATTATAGTTTTGAATGTTATTAAGCTTTTGTTAGTAAGTTAAGTTTTGTTTTCTGGCTTTTTTAAACATGCAGTCAGCACTTACTTAAACTTAAAGGCCTTACCTATTTCTCTGCCTACTCTTTCCTTATACCTTTTTTATTCTTGGATCCATTTTTGAAAATTCCAGATATATATCTCTAAGTAATTATTTCACCAGAATTCTGAAGGAAGCAAAGTCTGTTTCTTTGTACATTCAAAAATGTCTTAATTTCACTCTGTGAGAGTTTGAGTAGATTTAGAATTCTAGGTTTAAAAGTATCCAGTTGTCCCAGACCATTTGTTGAAAAGACTATTCTTTCCTCCTTTAGTTGTCTTGTCACCCTTATCAAAGCCAATTGACAATAGATGTATGGGCTTATGTGTTGAACTGAAAAAATTTAGTCCTTCTTTTTAAGTTTTTTTAGTTTCAGTGACAAAAATTTAATTTGTAAGAGTTCCAATTGATTTCTTTTTTATATAAATGTATTATCTTGATTATTTCTGAGAATATTTATTGTACTTAGTCTAATTTTTTTTGTTTTATTTAGTTAACTCTCTTAGGGCGTGAGTTCTGTTTGTCACACTGATGTCTCTTTTTCACATGTAAGTCTTGGTTTTGTGCTCATTCATCTTTGAGAGTCCTTCTCAGCCTTCTTGTGAATATTACATCTGTTTATTGCAGCAGGTCTCCATTGATTGTGGTTTGAGATGGAATGTGCAATGAGATTGAGTATATCAATCGCTAGTCTTCTTTAGTGTGAGTGTCGCCTCCTTAGCCTGGCGTTTAATGTCCACCCAGGTTTAATGTCCTGTCTCTTTGATCTAGTTGTTAGTATTTATTTTTCCTACTTTTCCCATCTGGGAGCAAGTGGCTCTGTTCTATAATGCTTGACTCAAAGAGGTAAATGGGTGGGAAAGGTTGACCTACTTTGTAACTTTTTTGCTATCCCATCAACCAGTCATGCTGTAAATTCTGTAAGTTCTTTCAATTCTTCCTGTCATCTGCCACCTCTGGGCTTAGTTTACTCTGAGGGCTGCCCCAATCATCTGCAATAGCCCTCTATGTTGGGCATATAGGACTGTGGTTCCCTGCTTTAAGCTAATTAATTCTATCAGCTTTTCATCTTTCAGTGATTTCTCATATTTAGTCCACTAGGAACATTTCTTGTTTTCTTTTGATTATTGGTTTTTTAAAAAAAATGGCTTCTATGTTATTTGTGGGGCTTTGGGGGAAGGGGAGCTTGTTCACAGTGTGCTCAGCCTACCATCTCATTTTTGTGAATGACTATGTCATATTGAAGTTAATACATTTAAGAAAAACATTTTAAAAGTTAGAAAAAAAAATTATGAAATCATTGAAGAAATTATGATTTTTGTTTTTTGTCTTGAAGAGTAAAAGCAGTCACAAATAAAGATTGGCAGTCCAAATACATAAAAATTAAAGTTTCAATGAACAAAACTTCAGATTAAGAATATATTTATTTGAAATTGGGAAGGCAGATGTTTGCTGTGTTTGGAAAGGCATTGGTGTTTTCTCTTTTTTCCTGCTCTTTGGGGAAGGAAGAAAACATGGGTTCTGAAATCAGTTGCCTGTTCTTGTGTAGACAACCTCCTTAGAGTCAATATTAGCCTATACCTATGACAGAATTAGTTGGTTGCTGAGAGAGAAGCAGGCTGAAGATGTCTGACAGAGCTCTGAGATCAAAAAGGATTTTTTATAACAAATTTGGTTCATTAATTTCCGATGTTACTCATTCAGTGTTAACCCTAAATTTGTTGTATATTTTTCCATTATAAAATATGTCATAGAATTTTTGGACAATATAAAAGGGGTGGTAGTCCTGAACCCCCATCATAACTGCTGTTAACACTTTGGTATGTTTCTTTAAGTATTTTTTTAAATCATAGCTTTAAAGAATTAAATATGATACTGTTTTTCTTCCAGTCCAAAAGTAATGTCTACTCAATGAGAAAGCTTGGAAAATAAAGACCAGCATTAAGGAGAAAACACAAAAGTCACTCATAATAACCACCCAAAGATAACCACAACTAAAATTTGGTGTATATTCTTCTTGTATTTTTCATGAATATATACAAACACTTTTTCTTTAATATGGTATCCTACTCTGGTGCTATTTTGTGCTTTGCATTTTTCATTTGCAATATATTGTGAATGTTTTTCCATGTTATTAAATATTCTTGTATATACCTTTTAGCAGTGTGTAGAACATAAACATATTTAAGTATGTTTATTTAGCATACATACTTAACCATCTCCCTATCATTGGACATAGAAAGTGTTTCTAATTTGTTACCATTATAAATAATATCATAGTAAGTATATTTGTCCATACATCTTTCCATGCATCTGTGATTGTTTCTTTAGGAATAAATTCCTAGGAGTGGAATAGCTGGGTCAAAGGGTATGTACATTTTAACACTTTTGGTACATAAAAATATTGAATTTTAAGCTAATCACTTGTTATATTCTGTCTTGTTTGCTATCTAATTGTTTTATATGTCTGTCTTGTCTCCCTAATTAGAATATAAGCTTCTTGAGGGCAAGGGAAGTTTCTTGTACATCTTATGTATCCTTTGACAGTGTGGTTTACAGTGTTGGACTTATGAGTCATCAACAGTATTGTATTGATTTAAAGGTGTGGTTCTCCAGACTTTTGGATGTCTGTAAATTTAAAAATAAATATATTTTGGGGATTCTAAAGGGTTTGCAAATTTTCTATTTTTCCAAGAAAGAGTATTTAAAAACAACACAGCTGCCATTTCCTATCACCTTCATCTCATAAAATAAAGCATATTTAATAACAAAAAGTTTCTAATCTCTAAAAAAGGACAGACCGTTAAATGAAACACTTTAACTTAAAAAAAAAACCTTATTGCCTTGTCCATTTTTTTCTCATTTTGCGTTTTACTGGTGAATCTTCACCTTAGCCTAGCAGGTCTGTAGACCAACATTTGGTAACTACTAATTTAAAAGACTTAGAGGATTAAAAATAAACCCTTTTGCAAAATATAAATAATTCTTGCTCTTGCTCACAAGTCTTTCTTCACAATATCAAGTACACATGTGTAAGCAAAGCCCTTTCATTACACGGAATTTGTGTATTTCTATGTACAAGTACTATAGTAAGCAAACCAGACCTTGCTGATGAACATTTAACATTTAAATGTATTTCCAACTAAAACTATATGCTTTCTAAAGAATTTGAGACAGTGGAAAAGAAGGCAGGTTTTAGAGTCAGACATCTTGGGCTTGAATCCTGGCTCTGGCATTAAGTCACTTAGCTTCCTTTTTTGTAAAATTAAGATGATAATCTCTTCTTTAATGTGTTTTTATAGCCCGTGTTATAGCAATTACTTTGCTGTGATGTAATTATTTATTTATACATCTGTCTTCCTCACAAGTCCATGAGCTTTTGATAGTCAGAGCCTCTTTGGCTGCCCTAGAGCCTAGCCCAGGGCTCAAGGCACAGCAGGTGCTTAATGAAATGACTGTGGAATCCATACCGGATTGTTGTGAGGATCAAAGGAGGTAATATGTGTGGAAGCTCTTTGAAACTTTAAACTCTATACAAAATGTTAATTATTTTTATTGCCAGTAAGAGCTGTCTTTGGGATTATGAAAACTTTGGGAAGAGACAAAATTACCCCCATTTAACAGTTCTCTAATACTTTGCATGTTTCTTCTATTTTTGTAAGAAAACAAGTTTTACCTGGGGTTAATGTGAAGCTTCCTGAGAAGAAATGTATTTCCTTTTTTTCTCCACCCCCACCCCCACCTCTCCCTTACTACACTGTCCCCCACCCCCAACCGTGGAAAGGCCAAGATATTGAATGTTTATTTGGTTGATACCATAAAACTTTAATTACAGGAAGATGAGCTTATTTCATATTTTAAAAAGGTGCCCATTGCTTTATCCTTTTGAACACAAAACTGATAAAAGAATACCAAACCTGGAAGAGAACAGGAGCCTATGTTATGCTGCATTAATTTTAGTCAGAGCTCCTTTTTTGACATTCACTGACTTTAAAAACTGTCATCATTTCTAATTTGTTTGTAAAGCTTCTGATGAAGTTTTGCCACAAGATGGCATTGGTGATTATTGAATGCATGTTCTGTTGAAACAGAATAACGAAAAGTGGTGCACGTAATTGTTTGTATGCTTTTGGGGATGAGTTAAAAACCTTCATCAATGCTTATATATTAATTTAATTTTGTTTTGACTTCAAAACAGGGTTAAATGCTACTTTACATCACTTCTTCCTGTATTCAAGTATTGTTTTGTTTCCTGTTTTTCTGTCTTTATAACTACAGTAACTATGTATTATTTGCCATGTGTTGTATGTGTCTGACTTATTGCTGATAATTGTGGTAACAGGTAAGAAGAAAATACGATGGGACCCAGTTAGGAGGCGCTTCATTCAGTCCTGTCCCATCATAAGGATCCCTAACAGGTTTTTGAGAGGTGGGTGATAACTAGCAAGAGATCTGTGCTTCATATGGGTTAAAGGGAACTTTGAATTTTCTAAACTCAAAACTCTGGTTTTTAAAAATTGTCTAAAAAGCTAAAATTGGAGTAAGAAAAGTCTAGAGTTTAATTTTTAAACCTGTGTTTCATATTGACCACGGTTGGAATTGTAATTATAAGTTCTAGGGAGTTAGAATCACTTAGTGTGTATTAGATGATAGAGATAAAATTATTCCACTGTAACCATATTAGAAAGAACTTTGAGTAAATAATTTATAAAATATAGGTGTGGGAAAGAATTTTCTAAATATGGTTCTAAGGAAGAAATAAAGATTAATTTATGTGACTGTACAAAATTAAAAACCTCTTATGTCAAAAAATACCCATAAATAAAAATAAGTAAATTAAAAGGGGAAAGAAAAATTTGTAACAAATAGTTAGTATCATGATTATATTAAGAGCTCTTATAAATCAAGTTTAAAAACAAATGCCCCCTACAAAAGTAGGTAAAAGATGATTAATCAGTTCATTAAAAAAGTTAAAAATATGAACAAATATTTCTTTTCACTACTATTATAAACATTATTAATTAAAATAATAAGATATCATTTCCACCTATTAGGCTGCCAAAAATTAAACATAAGAACACCCAGTGTTGGCAAGGGTATGGAGAAATGCAGCTTATATACTGAAGGAAGTATAAATTTAACACAGCCTTTCTGGATTCAGTTTGGCAGTATGAATCAAAAGCCTTAAAAATGTTCTCATCCTTTGACCTAGCAGAAATGTTGCATCCCTTCCATTTAAATTTTTTCCACTAAAACATATTCCATACTGAAAAAAGAAAATCTCAGGAGAGGGTTAAAAACTGGTCACACTGTTTTTCTAGATATAACAAATTGTCAGACAAGCATACTTAATGTGGTAATTTAGACTTTATTAAATTATTTATAAGCCAGTATATCTAATTTTGACTGAAGATTTTTTTAAAAAATCTTGCACTCAATATAGATTGTTCTATATTAGTACCTAACCTATTTTGAGCAGCCAAGCTCCACAGCATGGAAAGAATAAAAAGTATTTATCAAGAAACTTAAGGTATTGTGCTACCTTTTAGCATAAATTATTTTATTGATATAAATTAAGAGGTAATTTTAGTGTTATGTGACAGAAAAACCATTGTGCACACATGGCTAAGGAAGCACATCTAATATTTTAAATTTTTTCTGCTTATAAATTAGAATGCTGATTCACTTATTTACCATAAGAAAGCTTACTTAGTCTGACTAAATTTAAGTATAATTGTTTATTTAGAGTATAAAATCCAATATAACATCAGTTTAATACAAGTACAAGAAACAAAGGCAATAGTGAAATAACATATCTGGATGGTGGGATTTTATTTTCTTTTGTATATTCTCTGTTTTTCAATTTCTTAGTCATGAAAAAAAGAGATTAGCACAGGTAAGTTTCATACATTTGGTTACTCTGTAAGCCCTAAATTGCCTGAAATTATGGCTGAGGAAGATGGCCTCTGACAGGGCTGAGAAAAGTGAGGTGGGAGTAAACTCAGCATTAGCAACATCAAGGTCACTAGTGCCCGTCTCTAAATCAGTGTCCTTGTCTTAGTTCTCACCTTCTTTGACATGTTTGTAGTGTCTAATGCTGTTGACCACCTGCACCTTCTTAAATTTCTCTCTTCTTTTGGGATACTTTACTGTACAATCCTAGATATTTTCTTCCTATCTCTTCGATTGTTCATTCTGTTTTCTTCACTAGCTTCTTTCTTCCTACGCCCTAAAGGTGGGCATTTCTCCAGCATTCTGACCTCTCCATATCTCCTTTGGTTCTTTCATCAGCTTTCACAGACTTAACTATCTTCGTCCGTTCGTTCGTTTGTTCATTCTTTTCATTCTCTCTGTATTTCTTGATTGCCTCCAATGTAACAGGCACCATGCTAGCTCAGTGATCTAGATAATAGACAATTAGGTAAGGGAACAATTACAGAATAATCTGAGTGTAATTCTTTGTGGTAAGTGACCTGATGTGATAGTATAGTATGGGATCACACAGAAGGGGGTACCTGATTCAGCTTGTGGGGAGGACAGAAAGATAAGAGTGTCCATCAGGATGTCTTTAGAAGACATGTATATAAAGGCTAAGTAGGTGTTAGCAATGGAGGGTTGGAGCATCTCAACACGGGGACCACGAAGCTTGAATAAAGACAGACAAAACAGAACACATCTTTCAGAGAACTCTAGGAATTTTAGCATAGTAGGAAAGAGTGTGAACAGAAGATGCTGGAGAGGACCCTGATCAAGTGGGGGTACCCCTAAGGGGAGTTTTCAGGATCAGTTTTTTTCTTTTTAACTAGTGAAGAGATTTTATTAAAAGACCAGTTACAAGGTTATTACAATTATCAAGATGAGAAATGATGGAGGATGCAACTAAGGTAGTTGTAGTAGGAATGGAGAATAGGGAATTAATTTGCAATATAAGGAAGTGGATGGAATTGGATGAAACTTGGTGACTAATACTGAAGAGGAGGAGGGAAAAGTGAAGAAAACTTTCAGCTTTCTGTGTGGACTATTGTACTCTTTGCAGTGGTTATATAGGTGGGTAGATGGGCAGATTTGAGGGAAAAAAATGATACATTCAATTTAATGTCCCCAAACCAATAATAGCATATTCTTGAACATTCGGTTTAAGAGTTATTTCCAGGGAAAGCTCCTTGGAAGACCTCTCTGTTCTGATGGCACCCTGTGCACGTACTAGTGTCACAGCACTTACCACACTGAATTATAGACATGTGTGTGCTTGTCCGTTCCTGCTATTAGACTGTAAGCTCTGTAAGGGCAGGGACAGTGGAACAGGGCCTTCAATTTCTTTAACTCCAGTTTGTAGCACAGTGTATGTAGTAAGTATGTCATATGTATTTGAGTTGAATTGAATTATTGAAAAAGCTTCTGTGATGTGAGGGAGTAGATGGGACTAAAATTTTAGTATATTCTCAACTTCTCTGTGGTGGTGCTGACAGTAAACCAATGAGTTGCTGAAAATGTGTAAGTGCTGTTGTTTACTGTTGCCTTAGATGAAAAAAACCCTTAAACCTATACTTTTGAAATTGCCACTTTCAAGCCTCTCATTTGGGAATCCTGTGCATTACCTCTGTTAATTCTGATTGAATACAGTCTCAGAGGGCTCATTTTCTGTCATTAGATTTCCTTCACTTTAGAGAAGATCATGCATCTTCTCTAAAAGTTATTTCTACCAATTAAGAGTATGGTGTGAAAACAGTAGTTGTGTAATGAAAACAACAAAATGATGGACCAAACACACCCATTTAACTCTCAGTATGTCTCAGCTATCAATGAAAAAGACAAAACAGACATAAGAAAGAGAATAGATCATAAAATTGTATTGAAAAACAGAAAAGGGAGGCTTTGAAGCCAGATTATCTATATTCAAATCCAGGCCCTGCTGTGTGACCTTGGGCAAGTTCCTTATTCTTTTTGGCCTCAATTTTCTCAAGTAAAATTAAGATGATACTAATAGTACCTACCTCCTAGAGTTATTGCAAGGGCGAAGAGAGAGAACATGTGCAAAGCCTTAGAGTTTTTACATTTAGCCGCCACTGAGTTATTGTTACCTAAATTAACTGCTGCCATTATTGTTACAATACCAGAAATTCCGAAGAATTTCAGGGAATAGAATACAGTTGGAGTTGTATTGAAAAACTGGAACAAAATAAAATGCAACACCAAATAGATGTTCCTGCTGCTTTCTGGAAGCCATAGAATTCTTAGTAGGGCGTCTTTCTTGAAACTCTAAGCCTAGAGTCGGCAAGTGGAGGAAGAGGGAGCAGGTTGGGGAAAGATGGAACATCAGGGCAAATGACTAAGGGACTGCCTCCCGAGCAGTTATTTCCTCACTCCTCTCCCTTCCTTCAGGTAAAGAGCTCTGGCAGTGGTATCAGTTGCCAAGATGAAGCTATGAGAACAGCTTCTCAAGCAAAGTAGGGGGTTTGCTTTGAGGAGGGCTGAGCAAGCAGTGCTGTTGGGGGCTGGGACTGGAGAGGGAGTTTGAGCACAAAGCAGAGCTTTGATAATAGACCTCCACCATAGACTGGGTGGGGAGGGTGGAATGGGAGCAGGAAAAGAAAGGGAGCTCCATCAAGGACTGATGTATATTAAAGGACCGTATCATCAAAATACAGCTTTCCTCATTCTGGCAATACTAAGGCAAACCTGTTTACCTTTCCTGCACTTCTAAAGGCAAACCTGTCTGTCAGTGTACCACTCGCAGAGTAGACAATCAGAACTCCCATTTGGAGGTTTGGAGACAGAGTAATCCAACTGTTGAAATCAATGTCTCTCAAAATTACTAACCAAGTGTAGTCCTTCACTTATTAATGGGAATAAATGATCAAGGCCCAACAGACATTTGAGGGAAACTAGACTTGAAAGAGGATGACTAAGATGAACAGATAAAAGGGCTGACCATGTGGAAACAGAGATCATGAGGAAGCAGATTGGAACTTTAGAAAGTTCTGAGCACAGGAGGTTTCCTCAGAGTTCAGAGTGAATTGGACCCAAATAAAAAAGCAACTGCCATGGGAAAAAGAATGATAAAAGAATTAGTTCTGTATGGAAGGCTTGATTGCTGAAATAAAAATGCAGTTGGAGGGTTAAAAAATTGACAGGCTGAAGACCAATTTATTTGAAAATAGAGGAACTATATAGACCATAAAACAAGAAGACCAAAAGAGAAAATACATGAGGAAAACTCATGCTTTGAGGATAGATCTAAGTGATCTAGTATCCATTATATAGTCACAGAAGGAAAAATCAAATGGGAGAGAATAAAGAAATAAAGAATATTTCCCTATGTTGAAGAAAAACTGAATTTTCAACTATGAAGTACGCTTCTAGGAACCTGCAGGAAAAATGCAAAAACAAAAAGCACCTATATATTCATTACTGACCTGCATAAAGAGT